CATGCAATACAAGTTGAAAGACTTCGTAAAGGTCTTGAACAACAAATTAAAGATCTTCAAGCACGTCTTGATGAAGCTGAAGCTAATGCACTTAAAGGTGGAAAACGTATCATCGCTAAACTTGAACAACGTGTATGTAGATGAAAGAAGAAATAACAAAAAAGGAAACTCAAAGAATTCTTTTCATAATTTAGATTCATGAATTGGAAAGTGAAATTGAATTAGAACAACATCGTCATCAAGAAACATTGAAAGAATTACGTAAGAATGATCGACGATTAAAAGAATTAGCATTTCAAGCTGAAGAAGATCGTAAAAATCAATTACGTTTACAAGATCTTACAGAAAAATTACAAAGCAAAATCAAAGTTTATAAACGACAAGTCGAAGAAGCTGGTTTGTATACACATATTTTCGAAAATTAGTAATCAATCATTATTTTGTGTTTTTTTTTAGAGGAAATTGCTGCACTCAATTTGGCCAAATTCCGTAAAGTTCAAACAGAACTTGGTATGAAAATTTAAAAATAAATAATATTTTGTTTCTACTTGATTTTTATTATAACTATTATAGAGGATTCAGCTGAACGTGCAGATATTGCTGAAAATCAATTAGGCAAATTACGTGCTAAAAGTCGTTCATCTGTTAGTGTAAGCCGAGCTTCACCAGGCGTAAGTTAAATTGTTGTTTCTGTTCTCCTATAAAAATAGTTTTGAATACAATTTTTTTAGCGTGAAATACGTGAATCAACTGTTATGCGAGCTTCATCAATTGTTCGTGGCGGTTCAGTTCGGCCCCGTTAAATGTTTTAAATTCTATCAAGGGATTATGCATGTGTGGTGTTTTTGTCTCTTGTCTTTCTTTTTTATTTAAAGTCTAGCTGTGCATCTGTTTATCTTTATCATTATGTTCTAATTAATGTTTAATATGTAGATTGTCAACTATATCTGATCTTGTCTTTTATGTGTAACGAAAAAAATATTAAAAAAAAAAAAAGAATAAAGACAAATTATAGAATGAGAACCATTAAACTTTAGGATGGCTAAAAATACGATTTGAGCCTGCCTACGGAAGGGATTATTCCGTCACGTTCTGCTTGTAGTGAATGAAAATTCATGGGCAGCTGTGCAATATCTCATTTTGAAAAGCACAATTTCTCGGCCAAAACCGCCAAAACATTCGATTCTAGACATTGAGTCATTTGTACATAATGAAACACACAAAGCGTGAAGGAATAACGTTTTACGTGGACAAGCTCATTTCGTAATGCTCGGCTACTTTCACAACATATTGCGGGTCAACTATACAGGACGTCTAGGTAAAGGAGAGGATATCAAATATTTCTGAACGTCT